AGAGGTCTGAGGCTATGAGGTATGATAGACCACAGAAAATCAGTAGGCTAGGAATCTTGGGCTGAAGAAGAGATGTCTTCCTGAAGGAAGGAGATAATTAACAACTAAGAAGGACAGCTGTGAAAGAAAGTGAATATCCCTGCCCCCTGGTATCTATCTTCTCTGTTAAGAGTTAAAGTCAGCCAGACTTTAACTCAGATCCTTGGTTTGAGACAAGGTCTCTGCCAAAGCTAGGCTGACATCAAACTCACAGTTATCTTGCCTTAGCCTCTCGAGTGCTGTGGGGGTGGGCATGCACCACCACACCTAGCTTCTGCATCTAGTGGTGCATGCCTTTGATTCTAGCACTTGGGAGGCAGAGGCATGTGAATCTCTGTAAGATCAGGCCAGCCTGGTCTACATAGTGAGGTCCATGCCAGCTGGACCTACAGGGAGACTCTATCTCTCAAAAAAAAAAAAAAAAGGAGGAGAAGAAGGAGTTGAAGTCATTTTCTGAGAGTGATTAGAGGGTGAGGACCCTGCAGGATGGTGGTTAGAACAGAAAGATAGGAATTGTCCTCCAGAGGGTGTGGGCTTTTAGCAGCCTTGTGAGGGAAGAGCAGATACAAAGGCTGAAAGTAGGTCTAAAAAGACAGAAGATTCAGCTGGAGAAGGCTCTTGGACTTAGGGTGCTCCAAATGTTAGCCATTTCTGACTAGTGAAAGGCCCGAGGCCTGGAGTTCTTACAGTTGGTGTTAGGACCCGAATTTTACCAGAACACAATGTTTTTTGGTTCCGTCCCTGACTTCTAACCCAGAAAATCTGGGAATGGCACAATTGTTTTTAAAAGGCCCTCCAGGGGACTGTAATGTGCACACCAAGTCTAGATTTGATTCTAAGAATTTGTTGCTTAAACTTAATGTGGATTATTAGTCCTTTGAATTTGATTACTGTGATAAATTATGGGACAGAGGTAGCAGCTCATTGTGATTGGATTTCAAAATCTCTTAAGAAGATGTGGCATGATGGGCGAGCTGTCACTTAATGGTCCAGGTTTTCAGGGAATGTGTGAGTGACTGAAAAGTTGATAGACAGTTGTGGGCAGGTTAAATTTTAACGGAGGAATGTGTTTTAAAGTAAGGTGAAATGGTAAGTAGGGTAGATAGCCCCTTGACTTTTTTCACATAGAGGTATTCTTTCTGAGTATGTTGCAAAAATCTTTGCTGTCATTGAGGTGTATTAAGTGGTAGAAAATAGTGAGTGAGGCCTCTACTGAAAGGTTTGAAAGACAGAGACTCTACCACAGGGAAGCCAAGTTTCTGGTGTGGTGAGGTAGAGGATGCCTTTAGTGGAGGTGCTGCAGAGGGAAGCTTAACACATTCCTTGTTTTATGGCCTCATTTCTTGTGCTTGGACATTTTCAGATGTGTCCTTTTATGTTTTCCCTGTTCTCTTTGCTGCCCTTGGCTATTTTCCTTGGATTCCTGAGAGCTCTAGGCTGGTTCTATTCATTAGTTGGTGGAATTCAAAATTATATTTCATTTGGGGACCTTGCCTCTGTAAACTGTAGGGAAAATAAAGATGATTCTGTGTTTGTGTGTCTGTGTTTCTGTGTGTATCTGTGTGTGTGTGTGTGTGTGTGTGGTGTAGCTTTTAATGTTCATCGGTTTCTTATAAATATGATACAGAGGATACAGATGAAGAGATGCTTAGGGTGAGGCATGGGAGAGGGTGTGTGGAACTTGCATGGTTTCTCCAAGCATACTGCCTTCAGCAGCCTCCATGTGGTGCACTCTCCAGATGCTCTCTAAGCCCTGTCCTTTGGGTTTCTGTGGAAGCTTCATTGCTGAGACAAGATTGCTTATACAGTGGTGAAGAAACTTAGTCAGACCTGTCTTCTTTCAAGATAGGGAGCAGTGAAATTTGATAAGGATGGCCATAATTATTTATATCAGTACCCCGGAACAATGTCAAGGTGGAGGAAAATCTTACTGAATGAAGAAATCAGTAAATTAACTAGAGAAATAAGACTGGGCATGATGATGCATGCCTGTAATCCCAGCATTTGGCAAGCTAAGGCAAGGGGATTGCTGTGAGTTCAAGGCAATGGCCTCTTGTTCTCTGCACATAGGCCAGTTGTAAGTTTCTGTGTTAATCACCATCTGCTGCATAAGGAAGCGTCTCTGGTGAGAATTCAGAGATGCATTAATCTGAGAGCCAAGATGGTGGAAGGACCTCACCCCACCAAATATGGAGGAGCACACAGGTCTCGCTTTTTTTTTTTTTTTTTGTAGGAGTTCTCACACTCAAATTAGGCCACCAATTTGGTTATGTGTGTATATCTCTCAGCACTATATAAATCCCAAGGCCCTTATGTGTAGCATAGTGACTTCCATACCATAAATGCCCAATAAATAATTAATGGTTAAAATGATGTACAGAGGAAGATGTGAGACTGAATAGAATGATTGAACATGCAGTACTTGGCATTTACCTGATGATGAGGAAATAGTAGATCATAGTTAGAAGAATTACCTAAGCTCCTATAGTCAATAAGAAGTACTCAAACCTACACCCAAAAGCAGGAGAAAAGGCTGTTACATAGCTGTTCCATTGTCTCATACTCAGTGATTTTTGTATAACCTCTCATTATAATTATTGCATCTAAATCATGTAGGTGTTATCTTTAGTATTTCTTTAGCATTAAGCTAGTTTCTAATTGTCAAAATACCAATAACAGTAACTGCCATTTACTGTCTCCTATGTGCCAAATATTGTGCGTGTGGCAGTTCCTTCACTTGCCTCTGTTGATAATCCCACCTACATTATGCTAGGTACACAGAAGATCCTAAACTAAGACATTTATGGTTTTATTTTTAATTTATAGTTGCTTCTTTCTTTCATATATTCTTCCAGTCAGTAAATATTTCAGCCCTTGCTGCCCATGTGACCTTGAGCAAGTGATCTAATCTGTGCTCCTCACTACTATCTTAGATGAAGAATTACTGTGTGCAAAGCACTTGCTGCATGCAAGAATTTACAACACTTAGCTATTGTTATTTCTAGCTGTAAGTTTACTGAGTGGCAGGAAAAATGTGAATGTGAGGTGGAGCACACTCCTGGGAGATTATACTCAGTAATATAAAAATGTCAAGTCTCGGTCCAGGTGTGGTGGTACACTCCTTTAATCCCAGCACTCAGGAGGCAGAGGCAGGCAGACCTCTGTAAGTTTGAAGCCAGCCTGGTCTACAAAGAGATTTCCACACCAGTCAGAGATACATATGTCTCAAAAAAAAAAAAATAAAGTCTCAAAAAAATCAAGTCTTTCTAAAGTAATATGTAATTTAAATATAATTTCAATCAAGAAAATTTTCAGAGTAAAACTAGTAAAATTATTCTAAAGTTTACTAGAACAGCCTAGATATTTTAAAAAGAGAATTTTTTACACCAGTTACTTAAACACTAAAACATGTGGTGTGTGTGTGTGTTCTGGAAAAGAAGAAAAGGAAAAAAATAAATGGAATAATTTGGAATCAAAAATAGCAAGCTCATGTCAAAATTTAGTATTGACTCAGGCGACATTTCAAATCAGTGCAGAAAGAATGAGTTACATAATTAGTGGCTTTCTAGACGATTTGGCTACTTAGGTGAAAAGAAGTTGGGATTCTGTTTTGTATTTAATGCTAAGCAATATTCCTTTTCTAAAGGGAATGCTGGATTGACATTGATAAGGCCTGAAGCATTGCCATCCACAGACACCATGGTTGCTCCCCCTCTGTTGATATGCCCCTCTCTTTCATCTTCTGCACGGTGGCCAGGAAGCTGACAGAAGAGCACAGAACTGCATTTGAGGAAGTTGTCATATTACTTGACAACCATTTTGAGAAGGAATTTAGAAAAGGCATTTGGTCAGACTACTACTGCATATTACCATGATGGGTAGACATCATTGTGCAAGTTGAGAATTAATATTTATATATCACTTACTATGTTTCAAGTAGTACTGAAATATACATATATGCATACATATATATATATATATATATATATATTCACTGTGTCATCAGATAAATAAGTACACTTACTATCCCCAATTCATGGATGAGAAACCAAGGCACAGAGAGACTAAATAACTTGATAAAGCTCACAGTTTATAAATGGGAAAACCAAGATTCTAACTGGGATTCTGGTCTCCAGAGTCTATTCTCTTAACCTATTCTGTATATCTGGGAATCAGAAAGCTATGAACACTGGATAAGAATGGCAGTTGATATTTATGTCATTGCTATAGACTGTGCTCAACTAAAGTAGAGAAAACCTTACAGCATAGAAATAGATAATTAATTGGAGACACAGATAAAAAATAAGCATTGATAGAAAGGACTACAAAGTGGGAAGACTTTATACAGATGGTGATTACAGACTAAAATCTTCATTCTATGGATGTAGCATGTTGATTATTTATTCTGTTTCTCTATAGCTAACTCATGTCAAAAGTTTCTCTATAGCTAACTCATGTCAAAAAATGCCTTCTATGTACATACAAGAAAAATCTTATGTATTAGTCCCTCAAAGATCTCTTCTCTCTCTCTCCCGCTCTCCACCCCTCTCTCTTTCTCTCTCTCACACACACACAGTTTTATATATGCTTGTAAATGACAAGGCAACATTGAGTGTCATCTTAAAGTTTTCTTTGTACTTGATTCTAACACTGATTTGACAAGTCTCTGTATTTGTTTTGTTCTGTTCTGTTCTTTTAGTTTTTATACAGCTTAATAACTGAGTCAGTCAAATCTTGAAGTGCCTTATGGACAGTATTGATGGTTTCAAGCATTATCCTGGTAACAGTGAGAAGCCACTTAAAGGTGTCTTAAAAGGATACTGCTGTGCTTTGATTTGGGGTTTGACCATCTTATGATACCTAAGTGTAAGTGTAAATGTTACAGGGTTTGTAGATAATGGTGTGAGGAAACATGGCCCCTTCTTTTCTAGTCTGCACATCATCTTATATGGGCCTGTTGCTTTGGTTAATCAAATGTCTTTATTTCTTTTCTTAGGTAACCCAGGTTTTTCTGCCTTTTATGTGCCCTTTGCAAAGGCTTTGCACTCTTTGACAAACAGACGCTTTCCAGTTTGGGCAGTCACTCATGCTGGATTTGCCTTGCTCCCAAAAGACAAGAAGATTCTTAAAACAGCAGAGGGTATGTCCTTGTTAATAGCTTTTTCTTCTTTACAGTGTATGGATATGTTCCTAAGAAGCCTATTAACATTAAGGTTTTATCAATGAAAACCTCTGCTTAAGGTTTTAGACCCTGGGTGCTGTATTTTATAATTTTAGGATTTTTAGAGATAGTTTAAGTCTTCTGTGGATAATTTTCCATAAGAAATTTGAGCATGTCAAACAATTTGAGTATGACTTGCCTTTACTTACAAACTCATGACCACCTGTATAGTTACTGATCATATACTTCCAAGATTGACTAGAAGGAAGACTGGGGAAAAAGTATAAGACATGATCTTTAAGGAAGCATTCTCCCTCCAGTTCAGAAAGTGATGTCACATGACAAACTGGGCTACTGATTATGTGAACCCCACCCTACAGTTAGAAGAGACTGGAGCAGTGGATATCTTCATTTGGGTTCCATGGCAAAATACCATATACTGGGTAGCTTGCAAATAACAAATTTATTTCTCGTAAATTCTTTCTTTCTTTTTGGCAGTCCTGGAAATTGAACCTTGTACATGTTGGGCAAGTGTTCTACCGGTTATCAACATCCCCAGCCCTTTTTCTCATAATTTCTGGAAGTAAGGGAGTCCAAAGTCAGGATGCTGGCTAAAGCAGTCTCTCATGAGAAGAGTCTCCTTCATGCTCCATAGAGATGTTCTTCTAGCTGTGTCCTCATCCAGTGGAAAGAGGATCCAGGCTCTCTTGAGACTCTGTTAAAGGCAATAGTCCCATTCATGAGGGCTCCACCACAGAGTTCTCTTTTTTACATCACCGTATTTAGAGACTAAAAGGGTGGGGGAGATAGACACATTAGACCATAGAACTGTGTTTTACTATGTGCATTGGTTTTGGATGTAGGGATAGGGGTAGCTACAGAAGTGTAACTGGCTGATGATAGAAGGGAGCGAGGGTCAGGAACTACATGTAGTGCTACTGTGCAGGGCTAGTTTCCCAAGAGTCACAAAAGCTAGGAGAGAGCTAGGCTTCTGTGTGGTCAAGTACTGGAAAGCTTTTAAATGGAAAAAAA